CGCGAGCCGGTGCGTGGGGGGGTCAGACTTGTTTATTATGTGTTTGTTTCCTTCTAGGATCGTGCGAAGGGTGCAACCCAAAGATTGGAGATTTGAGTCTGCCCAGCAAAGGCACCCACCCCACCCAGGGAGCAAAGCCTGACGAGGGGACCTGCTTCTAAAAGGTCACTCTGGGCGCGCTGGTACTCTGGGCCCCCCACCCCCTGACACAGCCGACTCCCCCGCTACCAGTGACTCCCCCGCTACCAGTGACGGCCGCCTTGTTGGGACCCGGCTGTGAGGATGTCCCCGGGCCAGGGGAGGGGACACTGGGCCTGGGGGGACTGGCTGGCCCCCTGTTCACGCCTCAAATGGGAGTTAAAAGCCCCTCTCACGGGCGATTGAACTGCCCGCCACGAGATGCCCACGCACCAAAACCACCTCCAAACTCCCTGCCGAGCTGCTGGTGGGTTAGAACTGCTGACCACGCAGGCCACAGCCCCACCGGAAACCACCCCTCCACCGGGCCGTGCTGCTCTGACGTGTGGCCTGCGGGCGGGGCGGTGGGTGCGATGTGGTGCCTCGGGGGACCCTGCCCTAATGCAAAGAGAAGGGCGGGGCAGCCGAGCCTTGGACATCCACGCTTCCCAGGGACCGCTGCCCGTGTCCGGCCGCAGCTTGGGCGAGAAGCCCCGTAAATAAACCCCTTCCCACGGAGCCAGTTCCCACTCAGGGATCCGACGGGAGAGAGTCGGCCCCCCCACCCCCACCCCCGCAGGCCCCCAAAGCTGCAGGTCTTGCCCAGAGCTGCTGGCGGGTCCCCGCCACCGCGACCCAGAGCTCTGACCACTGCTCCTCCCGGACTCACAAGGTTGCACCACGTGGAACGCATGTGTCCCCCTCTCCCCCCGCAGAGGATGCAGCCCGCGTGACGGGGGGCAGAGGGGCGTGTCTGTGGCACAGGGCTCGGGGGAAGCCAGCACTCAGTCCCGGGGCCAAACGCCGTGTCCAGTCTAAAGGGCATCCCAGGGGGGGCGGGGACACCCTCATCTACCTCCTGTAGAAGCAGCTGGCGCCTCCGAACCGCTGGCCTTGCCGTTCTCAGCCCTGCACGTAACCCCTCCACCCCCACCCCCCAAATAAACCAAACTCAGGGCAGCGGTGAGGCTCCGACTCAGAGTGGAAGTGCCCCTCCCTGCGGGCTCCCCAGGGTGTGCATCTGTGGGAGCAGACGGCCTCCTCTTTGTCCAGCGTTTTCATCTGCTGGCCTTAACGGTTAGCACAGTGGTTCTCAACCTGCCTGATGCCGCAACCCTTTCATACAGTTCCTCATGTTGGGGTGACCTCCCAACCAAAGATGATTTTTGTTGCTACTCCCTGTCATTTTGCTACTGTTACAAACCAGGAGACCTTTGTGAAATCGGGAGACCCTAAAGGGGTCTCGACCCAGAGGTTGAGAACCACTGGGTTAGCATCAAGGCAAGGGAGGTGGTGACCCTGGCAGCTGTGCAGCCCAGCTCTCTAACGAAGTGAGGGAAAAAGGGGAGTGTGGCCCCTGTACCCACGACCCCTGGCTCTCCAGCCTCCTGTCGGGGCTTTCTGCCTGACACCTTGTGTTGGACCTGGGCCCGCCCCCGTGTTGGGAGGTGAGGGATACATGGGGTGGGGGCACACCAGCACTTCTCCTTTGCTTAGGAACAACCCCCCACCCCCACCCCAGACATGAATGGAGACATGGGCCACCTGGCCCAGAGCTGGCTGGGACTGCTGGGGGTGGGGGTCGCAAAACACCTACCTGCGTGCGAAAGTGGGGGTGTGCGCGTGTTGGGCCTGGTGTGTGCAGCTGCTTGTTCTGGGAGTGTGTGTCCCAGGGTGTGGGTGTGCTGAGGTAAGGTGAACATGTAAGGGGAGGTGTGTGTGTCCTGGTGAGGTGGGAGTGTGTCCAGGTGTGTGTGCTTGCTCAGCCAACTTTGTGTGTGTGTGTGTGTGTGTGTGTGTGTGTGTGTCTGAGGTGAATGTATGTGTTCTCGTGTAGATGGGTGTGCGTCCAGGTGAGGTGTGAGTGTGTGTCACAGGTAAGGTGGATGGGAGTTCAAGTGAGGAAAGAAGAGTGTGTACTCGTATATGTGTGTATGTGCCCAGGTGAGGTGAGAGTGGACGTGGGTTCCAGGTGAGGTGAATGTGTGGAGGCTCGGCCCCCCATCTCATGACCCCGTTTCTCCACAGCTCTCTGCTCTGCGTCCACCAGAAGAGGGAAGAATGCCTGCCACCCGGGGAAAGTCCAGGGCCTCGGTGAGCACCTTTCCTCCCCCCAGGAGTCACGCCCCAGGCCTCCCACCGCTGTGGAGGGGACCCTGAGAAGAGCCCCAGAGACCCCCTCTGCTTCATGGGCACCTGTCTGTTCACCTGCCCATGGGCAGCCAGGGCCTTGCTGGCCTTGAGAATCCTCACCACCACCCTGCAGGGAGATGAGCCGCACCTCAGGGTCTCAGGTGCTCTGAGTAAAGCCACCTGCCAGCTACTTCCCAAAGCCACCGGGAGGATGCCGCTAGCTGGGCACGCAACAGGCCTGGGCACCCACCCTCACAGGCCTGAGCACGCATACACTCATCACCGAGGACACACACAGGCCTGGGCACGCATCTGGGAACACACACACACACACACACACCTGGGCACACATTCACATACCTGAGGACACACAAGCCTAGAGACAGATGTGGGGAGACAAACACACCTGAGGGCACACAGGCCCACATACATTCACACTCATACCTGGACACACATCTGGGGACACACACATTCACTCTCTCTCACATACCTGGGTGCTTACACACATGGGCATGCACACATCCACCTACCTGGACATCCACTCCCACACCTGGGAGCACTCACAGGCCTAGCCCCCCACGAGGTCTGAGCACACGAGGTCTGAGCACACGGGGACTCGGGAACTACAGGCATGCCTCGCGGACGCCGTGGGTTCAATACAGGGCGTCTCGGGCATGTCCACGGTGGTCTCCAGACGCAGAGGAAAGCGGCCAGTGTGCAGGAGTGTCACAGCAGAGTCCCCAGGGCCTCAGGAATTTCCTCCATGTGACACCCACCCCAGTTCAGCACACGCTCTTGGGAAACTGGCGCCCAAAGATGGGCTTGATGCGGGGGTGCCCACCCCGCAGTTTATATTAAGAAAACAGGGCATTCCAAGGCCAGGAAGGTGAGGCGCAGTGAAATCGGGGAGACTGTGGTCACGGAATAGCCTCTTTCGCTTTGGGATAAAAGCCACTTGCCTCCTCTACCCTTCCCACGGCAGTTCCTGGTGTTCACTCCCCCCAGCCGTCTGGCAGGGCAAATGACATGTGGTTTTCCGTTTCAGGCCCCGGTGACCTTTGGGGACTTGGCCATCTACTTCTCCCAGGAGGAGTGGGAATGGCTGAACCCCATTCAGAAGCTTCTGTACCAAAACGTCATGTTGGAGAACTACCAGAACCTGGTGTCCCTCGGTAAGGCTCC